GGGGTTGATACGACCCCCTTCCTCATTCTACCCACCCTTGGATTTTCCTCAACTTGTTGCCCCACTTTCCGCAATTCAAAGAAAATTTTCCTACTTGCACGCAAGAATTTTGCTGTCGAGCGGCTGGGGAAGGGCGGTGGGGAGGAGGAGGGAGGGGGGTAAATAGTCGCATGAAACAGGAAAAACAGGAAAAGTTAGCAGTCTCTCTAAAAGGGCGAGAAGTGCTCTCCCCCCATTTCCGGGCGACCAAAACGACCACCTGTTGGGGAACCTTAACAATAATGTGCCCTGATTATAAGTATACTAACAATAAAGATGTAAAGACTATTCTGTAGCACGCGCACTCGATCTCTCTTTTCACGATCGTCATCCGAATAAGTCTTCGTTCAGATGAAATACATCCATATCCCAGAGATGGGGTGGGCTTGGCCGCGTGCTTCACGCTGAACGCGTCAGAGGTAGCGCTTCCAAAGTGATTTGCTGCTTTGGAACCATTGCAATCATGTCTTTGCCCAGCACATAACAGTTGCCTCAAGTTGAAAGATACACACAAAGTGCATTACAAACCATGCTCTGATGAGGTAGTTGCCACGCCCTCCGCATCTGCGGGATATGAAGTGAAGTTCTGAAAGTTCCTGGCATATTTGTGGCGCTCTGCCAAATTGACGTTGCTGCTACAAGTCTACGAGTGCTGCAGTGCTAATGAAACTTACCGAGTGTATGAGCAGCCCATTCCTCGATGTCCGACCTCGAGCGTGTTTCGCTTCTTCCAATATCGTCCCCAGGATACTGCCATACTGTCACGTATTGATCGGTCCATTTGCAAGGTTTTTACCAGCATATAATCAACTAAATATTTTTATAGTTTTTTTTTCTATGAAAACGGAAAGGTGACAGAAAGATAAATGTCTAGAAATGGAGGAAATAAATAAATTATTGGTGAACCCTCCCAGGGGTCGGAACTTGCAAGAGCGGCACAAAAATTAGAGGATTTCGCTCGTTGTTGACAATATTAAAGGGATTCGCTAGCACGAGACGCGCGCTGCAGCGGCGCGGCGTGCGCACTGTGTTGATGTTTGCTGCTTAACTATAAATCAACCCATCGAAGCCACGCAGTGAGC